TAGTTTAAGTCCTTATATCATATTGTATTTCAAATTAATAAATTATTACTTTAATATTGTCTATTATTTTGTAGAGAGAGAGAGAGAGAGAGAGAAAGAGAGAGAGAGAGAGAGAGATAACATTATCTAAACTTTAAAACTTAATAGATTTATACAATTTATAAATGAGTTTTTGAAATAATCTCTTCAAAAAGTTTGCTTTAAAAATTACCATAACACAATTTAAAGAATATCTATAAATTAAGTTTAAAATTTTTAAAAGATTAGTATAATTATTAATTATTTACACAAACAATAATATATATATATATATATATATACTTTAATCAAATAATTTGATAACAAATAAACCGGTAGTGTTAACATAACAGAAATTATTGTCAAGACAGTATTATACATACAATCAGTGGTTACTAATCATTTAATGATTAAATATTTTTTCTAAATAACCAAAACCCGGGAAACTATGTTTATAATAAATCTCTGATGTAACATGTATAATGAATATAGTCATATAGAAACATATTTATAGTTTATTAAGTTTCTGTTATTTTCTTTATATCGTGACATATCATAGCAATTGAAGTAAATTTTAATTATGACAACAGGAACTCTATCATTATTATATAATATTAATGTATTACCAATATTGTATTATTATAACTCTATTAATGCTTATACAGTATAATTATTGTTTATAGCATTAAGTTAGCATTATTGCTCAAATTTGGTTGAAAAATGCATAAATAATTAAAAGTGACAAGTATTATCGAGTAAAACATAATTTCTTATGACAAGTGAAAACGGAAACTCTTGTTATGTTAATATTTATTTATATAAATATAGTGATTCAATTGAATTTTTTCATTCAACATTTATTTAATGACAAACTTGTGTTGTGTCTTAACTCATAAGACAACATTTTTGAATTGTGTGCAACGATGTAAGCAAATTTACAGCGAGAGCAAATTCACTTATAATCTCATCAGTGTTGAATTTACATAACTTGTTATAAATAATCATTTACTTAAAATTAGTTTAATCTAATCAATTATATATTTTACCGAATTATATTATAGAGCACAGAATAAGCTGTTTAATCAAGGTTTAAACAATGAAAAACAATCATAGGATTCAATCATTTCTTTGGATATATTTTTGGGTCACTTTTGTATTTCTATTATATCTAATGACAGATAAATTGGATTGTTTTGAGAATCAAATAAAGTCACAAAAATGTGATCATAAAGACTTAGAAATACTAAAATATCGGTCTGAAATTAATAAAAGTGATTCTGTGAAGTGTATTTGTAATGAACATAAAGTCAAAGGTAATTATTATTTTCCTAATATATTTTGTAATATACGATAATTACTTTAAGTAAACATTTTTATCTCAATATATTATTGTAAAATGTAGTCAATTTAAATATTGCAAAACATTTAAGACGATCTCAGACAACAGCTCAAGAAATTTTCAATTATTTATCAATAACATTGAATAAAACGGATTCTGTTCAAACTGAGACTAAAAATAAAATTCTGTCGCAAGTGAGTGATATGAAAAAGTATGTATCATTAGAAATATTATAAATTGTATTAATATAAGTGGATTTTAAATAGTGTGATTATAATGGAAGTGCAAAATGTGAGTCAAACAATGGGATTAACTGATTACAAGAATGAAAGACTGAAACAAATATCGAAACAAATTTACTCGAAAGTGGATAAACTCCAGAATCCTCCGAAAAATCTTTGCGATAGTGTCTCAAAATTAATTTGCAAACTCAGTGTTGACGCGGGCTTTGCATCGGGGATACATGAAATCTTATGGTGTCTATTGTCCGCCTATTATAACAATCAAACGGTTATTTTGATTCCCGATTGGACTAAATATTTTGGTCGCACTCCCGATGTATGGGAGCGAATGTTTTTATCACTTTTTACCACCCGTTCCCGTGAGAACTGGAACGATATCTTTCAGCCTTTAAGTACTTCTTGTGATTATAAAGATCTACCCAAAGATCAACTCAATGCTCCCGAGCGGCCCAATACTGTCATCGATAGGAAACTCATGAATGAATTGCCAAAACAATTTGGGAGTGAATTAATGGACATTCTTGACGGTCCCAACTCATGGTTTCACTCGCAGTTTGTGGGCTATATATTGCGACCGCAGCCAAGACTTGAAGAATTTATCAAGAATTTCAAGAAACAAATTAATTACAGACACCCTATAGTAGGCATTCAAGTTCGACGGACTGACAAAATAAGTTATGGAGAGGCTCTCTATTATCCTATTTCTGATTATATGGTTTCTGTTGAAGACTATTTCGATAAACTAGAGCTCACACAACAAGTACCTCAACGACTAGTTTATGTGGCTTCCGATGATCCATCAGTATTGCCTCAACTCATCAAACAGTATCCTAACTATGAGTTCATTGGAAGCACTTCTAATGCAAAGATAGCTTTCAGTCAAACCACTAGATATTCAAATGAATCTCTTTGGGGAATACTCGCAGACGTATTCCTGTTATCGGAATCTGATTATATTGTCTGCACTTTCAGTTCAGCCGTAAGTAAATTATTATTTATAAGGTTTTGCCACAGATTTCATATTAATCATATAAATATCCCCAAAGATATGCCGCCTTTCCTATCAATTAATGCGATACAAGCAATTGGACGCCTCATTGCAATACCGATCCCTAGACGTGCCCTTCCATTATCATCACTCTCTCACTCCCATCAGAGCTGTTGTTTACAATCATCGGCCAAAGTCTGAAGAGCAGTGGAATCTAAGAATCGGCGATCGTTTGCACGAAAGAATTAGGGGTCGATTCACTGAATGGTTTGATCAGTCAATCAATGGCAGGGGTTGGGACTCATACTTCTATGCATCTAATTCATCGACACAAAGATTTTATAAATTATATCCTATTTATAAAGTTTATGACGATATTGAGCTGGTTTAGACTTGACATTACATTGTATGTGCATAGAAAGTTATCTCAATATAAAGTTTTAAAATTTTTAAATATAACTATAACTTATAAATATAAAATTATTCAGTATTTAGAGGATTGATATTATTTTATTATTATTCATTGAGGATTCCATATAAAGGAAAACTTTTACATTACTATTATTAACATTACTGTATTATGGTACAAACCATTTATTTTTCAATTTTCATTCTAATTTATATACCATTTTATAGGTTAGTGCCGGATATATTGTCACTTTTTCAATATCCTTTCAATTTTATTCATGAAATGTATGCTTTTAAGGCATTTTATTAATGATTAATAATAATAATGACTATGTGGTTGACAAAGGCATTAAATAATTTGTAACTAAAAATTAGTGTTTTTGATTAAATTCTATCAATTCTTTGATTAATAATAAAAATAAAATTTTAAAAATGAATTCATCAAACAAGGCATCAGTTTTACTGAGTGATGAAGAAAATCAGTCAATATTTAGTGAATTAAGTCGAGGAGAAACTTCTCTCTCAACTGCTGTCATACAACTACTAATCACTCAAAGTCCTCACCACAAAGAATGGCATTTGTCTGACACCGGAGTCCTATGTTTTGTTAAGAGTAACAAAAAGAGGTCCTATTATTTCAGATTATATTGTTTCGACACTAAGAAGATTATTTGGGAACAAGAAATTTATTTAGACATCAATTACATGACTCCAGAGCCATGTTTTCACACGTTTGAAGGCAACGATTGTATGATTGGGTTTAACTTTGCCGATGAAAGAGATGCTAATTATTTGAGTGATTCAGTTCATCAAAAGATTGAATTATTGCATCAAATGTTTAAACCGCGTGAGACACCAGAAAATACTTTGCTTACAAACGAGACAAAAAGTAGCACTTTATTGGAAGTTCCCTCCAATTTGAGCACAAATAGAGCCCATTCTTTGGATTCCGTCAGAGAATCAAAGAATTTTACATTTAATTTAAAATCGTTTAAAAAGAGCAAAAGAAAGCAACAACAAGTGAACAAATTAAGTAAATTAGACATTTCTATGCCCACAAACTTCAAGCACATTCAACACATTGGTTGGAGTCCTACGACTGGCTTTGACTTCAATCTAATTGATCCGAAACTCGATAACTTCTTTCAAATGGCGGGCATTTCATCGCAACATTTAGATGATGTGAATACCAGAAAATTTATTTTTGATTTTATTGACTCTCACGGAGGCATCGAAGCGGCCATTAAAGGGGTCGACGACCCCTTTAATGGCCGCTTCGATGCCTCCGTGAGAGTCAATAAAATCAAAAATAAATTTTCTGGTATTCACATCATCTAAATGTTGCGATGAAATGCCCGCCATTTGAAAGAAGTTATCGAGTTTGGGATCAATTAGATTGAAGTCAAAGCCAGTCGTAGGACTCCAACCGATATGTTGAATGTGCTTGAAGTTTGTGGGCATAGAAATGTCTAATTTACTTAATTTGTTCACTTGTTGTTGCTTTCTTTTGCTCTTTTTAAACGATTTTAAATTAAATGTAAAATTCTTTGATTCTCTCACGGAATCCAAAGAATGGGCTCTATTTGTGCTCAAATTGGAGGGAACTTCCAATAAAGTGCTACTTTTTGTCTCGTTTGTAACCAAAGTATTTTCTGGTGTCTCACGCGGTTTAAACATTTGATGCAATAATTCAATCTTTTGATGAACTGAATCACTAAAACAATTGGCATCTCTTTCATCTGCAAAGTTCAACCCAATCATACAATCGTTGCCTTCAAACGTGTGAAAACATGGCTCTGGAGTCATGTAATTGATGTCTAAATAAATTTCTTGTTCCCAAATAATCTTCTTACTGTCGAAACAATATAATCTGAAATAATAGGACCTCTTTTTGTTACTCTTAACAAAACATAGGACTCCGGTGTCAGACAAATGCCATTCTTTGTGGTGAGGACTTTGAGTTATTAGTAGTTGTATGACAGCAGTTGAGAGAGAAGTTTCTCCTCGACTTAATTCACTAAATATTGACTGATTTTCTTCATCACTCAATAAAACTGATGCCTTGTTTGATGAATTCATTTTTAAAATTTCATTTTTATTATTAATCAAAGAATTGATAGAATTTAATCAAAACACTAATTTTTAGTTACAAATTATTTAATGCCTTTGTCAAACACATAGTCATTATTATTATTAATCATTAATAAAATGCCTTAAAAGCATACATTTCATGAATAAAATTGAAAGGATATTGAAAAAGTGACAATATATCCGGCACTAACCTATAAAATGGTATATAAATTAGAATGAAAATTGAAAAATAAATGGTTTGTACCGTAATACAGTAATGTTAATAATAGTAATGTAAAAGTTTTCCTTTATATTATAAAGTTTATAATATGGAATCCTCAATGAATAATATAAATCCTCTAAATAATGAATAATTTTATATTTATAAGTTATAGTTATAACTTTATATGCATATAATGTCAAGTCTAAACCAGCTCAATATCGTCATAAACTTTATAAATAGGATATAATTTATAAAATCTTTGTGTCGATGAATTGGATGCATAGAAGTATGAGTCCCAACCCCTGCCATTGATGGACTGATCAAACCATTCAGTGAATCGACCCCTAATTCTTTCATGCAAACGATCGCCGATTCTTAGATTCCACTGCTCTTCAGACTTTGGCCGATGATTGTAAACAACAGCTCTGATGGGAGTGAGAGAGTGATGATAATGGAAGGGCACGTCTAGGGATCGGTATTGCA